ATACATTTTCACTATATTATCAAGAGCCCCACCCTTACACCAGCACATCTGACCCAGGGGTCATGCAATTTACTACTCTGGAAGAAGCACTCTTGCTCATCATAACTATACACTAGCTTCTTTGCTTTTTAACCAGAAGCAGAAAAGAATATTTTCAGAGAAATTTTGCTTTTTCACTATATAATCAATAGAGCCCCCCCTTTTTCACCAGAACCCTTGACCCTGGGGCCATGAAATTCACAATTTTAGAAGAGGCATCCTGGCATATCATAACAATGTACTTAGTTTGTTTAAATAATACCCAGTGGCAGAGAAGAAGAGTTTTAAAGAAATAATTCACCTTCCCTATGGGATCTATATGGCCTCGCCCTAGCACCAGAACCCCTGTCCCTGGGGCCATGAATTTCACAATTTTGGAAGAGGCATCTTTGCTTATCATAACAATGTACTTAATTTGTTTAAATAATACCAAGGAGCAGAGAAGAAGATTTTTAAAGCATTAATGCATTTTCACAATATAATAAATAGAGCCCCACCCTAACACCAGAACCCCTGATCCAGGGGCCATGAAATTCACAATTTTGGAAGAGGCATCCTTGCTTATCATAACTATGTATTTAATTTGTTTCAATAATACCCAGGAGTAGAGAAGAAGATTTTCAAAGAAATAATGCACTTTCACTATATGATCTATATAGCCCCACCCTAGCACCAGAACCCCTGACCCTGGGGCTATGAATTTCACAATTTTGGTAGAGTCACCCTTGCTTATCATAACTATGTATTCAATTTGTTTTAATAATACCCAGGAGTAGAGAAGAAGATTTTCAAAGAAATAATGCTCTTTCACTATATGATCTGTATAGCCCTGCCCTAGCACCAGAACCCCTGACCCTGGGGCCATGAATTTCACAATTTTGGTAGAGTCACCCTTGCTTATCATAACTATGTATTCAATTTGTTTCAATAATACCCAGGAGCTGAGAAGAAGATTTTTGAAGAAATAATGCACTTTCACTATATGATCTGTATAGCCCCACCCTAGCACCAGAACCCCTGACCCTGGGGCTATGAATTTCACAATTTTGGTAGAGTCACCCTTGCTTATCATAACTATGTATTCAATTTGTTTCAATAATACCCAGGAGTAGACAAGAAGATTTTCAAAGAAATAATGCACTTTCACTATATGATCTATATAGCCCCGCCCTAGCACCAGAACCCCTGACCCTGGGGCCATGAATTTCACAATTTTGGTAGAGGGCTCAATGCTTATTACAATCATGTCAACAGTTTGACTGCTTGATGTCCAGGAGTAAAAAAGAAGATTTTTAAAGATTGCATTAATTTTGGTGGTTTTAGCCCCACCCCTCAGGCCCAAGGGGGGCAGGGACCATGAAATTCACAATTTTTGTCCCCCTTCACCCACAGATGCTATATGCAAAAATTGGTTGAAATTGGTTGAGCGGTTTCAGAGAAGAAGCTGAAAATGTTTAATGTTAACGCACGACGGACGACGCACGACAATGGACAAAAACGGATAGCAATAGGTCACCTGAGTGACTCAGGTGACCTAACAAAATGATCTGATAGATGAAGGTATGTTGCTAAAAGACAATTGACATGAGACGATCATGGATAAACAAAATCATAAGTCTGGTAATCAGTCACAACTCAGAAAGCAGATTTTTAACATGCTTGCCTGTATGTGCCAGTACTAACTACACTCTTTAATAATCACAACTAACAACACAATAATGTGTAAGAATAAAACTGTGAGAGAAGTTATTCCCCTTTGTTATTACAATGTACTTCATATAGGCAGAGACCATGAAATTCACAAATTTTGTTCCATAGCTGGTCTTTGCCAAAATGGTTATCATTGGTTCAGCGGTTCCAGAGCACGACAAAAACAGTGTATAGGTCACTTGAGTGACTTAGGTGACCCAATTAAATACATGTAGATGGGCCTCTAAAGCAATAAATTACTGTGCATATATTGACAAGGGTTGCCATAAAGTTCGTAGACAAAGGCTGTAATTTTTTTAATAATGACCACACTGCCAAATATGTACAATATTATTTTGATATAGACCATGATTTAGTAAATGTATAAAAATTAAAAGACACACACTATTTTATGAATAGGTGTAAATAGATTGTATACGCAAGCCTTACAGTCCAGTCTGACATTAAGCTAGTTTCATGATAATGTCAACAAGAGGCCCAAGGGCCTTATCGGTCACCTGAGTACAACAATTTAGAGGATCCATAAACTGATAAATGAAGCTTTGTGGCCCAATGGCAAGAAAAATACTATGATTATGATCAACAAAATAATTGGTCTAGTATCTTTCTATCTGTCCCCCATTTACCACTATTACCATGCAGACTTTTAATAAAATGTCTCTATTATTACCTCTCACATTGGCCTCACTTGGCTTTTGAAGAACATTTAAGAAGATAAGTTATTTTTGTTTCATTTTTATTCATCTATTATTTCCAAGTCTACCTGATTATTAAAACTATGAAAGTACTTTTTGTATTATACAATAAAAGTTCTTGCATAATTCTCTTATTCTATTAACCTTTCAAATAATTTTCTACAGTGATTAATTATCAAAAGTGAATGGCAAAGGGGAGTAACTTCACTCAATAGAATACAAATTAATAGATCCCTGGCCAGGACCAGAACGATTGACTAAATGGTCCAGATTTCAAAATTCTGGTAAAAATACCCTTGCTCATTAAAACTTTTACTCTGCTTGCTTCCAATATGCCTAGGAGCAGAGGAGATTTTCGAAGAAATAATGCATTTTAACTATTTAACACAGCCCTACCCTAACACCAGAACCCATGACCTTGGGTCATGAAAATTTACAGATTTGGAAGAGGTACTCTCATCATCATAACTATGCAATTAGTTGAAGATTTTCAAAGAATTCACACATTTTCACTATATAATCAAATAGAGCAAACCCCCCCCCACACACACACACACCCCCCTCCCCCCCCCCCCCCCCTTTTAGAGAAACATCAGAACTCCTGGGACCACAAGTTTGAAAAATTTTGTAAAAGCATTCTTGCTCATCATAACTATACACTTGTTTCTTTGCTTTATAACCAGGAGTATAAAAATATTTTGAAAAAAATTATTAATTTTCACTATATAATCAATAGAGCCCCCCCCCCCCCCCCCTTCATCAGAATCTCTGACCCAGGGGCCATGAAATTCACAATTTGGAAGAGGCAGCCATGCTCATTATAACAATTTACTTAGTTAGCTTATTTCATACCCAGGAGCAGAGAAGAAGATTTTCAAAGATATAATGCATTTTCACTATATAAACAATAGAGCCCCACCCTAACACCAGAACCCCTGACCCAGGGGCCATGAAATTCACAATTTTGGAAGAGGCAGTTATGCTCATTATAACTATGTACTTAGTTAGTTATTTCATACCCAGGAGCAGAGGAGAAGATTTTCAAAGATTTAATGCATTTTCACTATATAATCAATAGAGCCCCGCCCTAACACCAGAACCCCTGACCCAGGGGCCATGAAATTCACAATTTTGAAAGGAGCACCTATGCTCATTATAACTATGTACTAAGTTAATTTAGTTAATTCCCATGAGCAGAGAAGAAAATTTTCAAAGATATAATGCATTTTCACTACAAAATCAATAGAGCCCCGCCCTAACACCAGAACCCCTGACCCAAGGGCCATGAAATTCACAATTTTAGAAGAGGCAGTCATGCTTATTATAACTATGTACTTAGTTAGTTTAGTTCATACCCAAGAGCAGAGAAGAAGATTTTCAAAGATTAAATGCATTTTCACTATATAATCAATAGAGCCCCGCCCTAACACCAGAACCCCTGACCCAGGGGTCATGAAATTCACAAATTTGGAAGAGGCAGCTATGCTCATCATAACTATGTACTTAGTTAATTTATCTAATACCCTGGAGCAGAGAAGAAGATTTTCAAAGATATAGTGCATTTTCATTATATAATCAATAGAGCCCCGCCCTAACACCAGAACCCCTGACCCTGGGGCCATGAATTTTGGTAGAGGGCTCAATGCTTATAACAATCATGTCAACAGTTTGACTGCTTGATGTCCAGGAGTAAAGAAGAAGATTTTTATAGATTGCATTAATTTTAGTGGTTTTAGCCCCACCCATCAGGCCCCAGGGGGGCAGGGACCATGAAATTCATAATTTTTGTTCCCCTTCACCCATAGATGCTATATACCAAATTTGGTTGAAATTGGTTGAGCGGTTTCAGAGAAGAAGATGAAAATGTTTAAATGTTAATGCACGACAGACGACGCACGACGACGGACAAAAACAGATAGCAATAGGTCACCTGAGTGACACAGGTGACCTAAAAATATGGATTTGAATTTTTATTGCATATTCAGGACACATTTTTTTCTTCATTATGCCACACCAATCAGTGTGTGTGATAATATTTACATAAAGACCATATGAAATTGAGTAAATTTTTAAAATTTAAAACTATTTATGATAATTTATGAGCATCATCCATATAAACACTTTGTATATACACAGACTACCTAGTCCATCCAACATTGTGCTAGATTTAAAACAACGTCATGAATATGGATTTCCTATTTTCAGCAAATAACAGTAATTTTCCACTTCTTGTAGTGTCTCTCAAATTATACACACCATTCTGGTTTACAATAAGTATATTTAGGACCATTAAGTTTGACAATAACATCATTGTAAACGAACTTTATGGACAACCATCGTATATACATGTTTTTATATAGCATATTCAAAATTCATTGCATTTAGGTTCATATGGACTATTTGTGCTAAACTAAGAATCCAAACTGAGTTAAATATGTAAATTTCTTCTACCACAGTAAATACAACTTTCCATTCATGATGTCAAGATTTTTCATTCCAATCAGGTCAAAGAAAAGACCTGAGGAAGGCACATGATGATAAAGTTGTGTCCATTACCTCCCCTCTGGTGGGATCAGGACTGCTGACAACAGCTGATTCCAAAACAGCTGGGTGTTCAATTAGAGCACTCTCTACTTCAAATGGACCAATCCTGTAACTAGAACAATCAACACCAACTCAATAGACAGAATCTTACACACATGTATATCTGACATCTAATTTAGTAACCAGAGTAAAGGGCAGCTGACTTTAGATGTAGGTTTCATTTTTAATATCTTAAGTTTTATACCCCAAGCTTATAAGAGAATATTTAGCTTTAACAAAACTTGTCTGTATAAAATGTCTGCATGCATTTTAAATGATTCAGACTAAAAAGTTTCACCTTTACATTAGTCATGGATGTATTTGAATGTAAACATGCATTTTTACAATGTCAGTAATTACCCAGATGTTAGAATGATATCATCTGCTCTGCCAACAAACCAGAAATAACCTTCATCATCCCTAATGGCCTTGTCCCCTGTCATGTAGAATTCACCCTGGTAAACAGATCTGGTCCTGCTCTCATCATCCTTATATAAATATAATTGTGAATTTTATGGTTTCATGTATAACCAAAAATATACCAGTCTGAATTTTCTACGTTAGCCTCATATAAACTGATCACTGATGGAACACTGATGACCTTTATTTGTTTATTCAACACTAGTTCCTCATCCCAGTCAAGCTTAACTACCTCAAGGTCAACAAATATTTCTGTATAAAATTGCAGAAATAAGTGCTGCCTCATTTTTTGTCACGTTTTTTTTAACCTCAAGGCTAAAATGCATGTAATTTATATCAAAAAGTGATCGGAATATACATGACGCATCACAAGTAATGCATATTCTGTGTACATGTGTATTTAGTCTGATCAACACCAAGTTATATGAAAGCCACAACTACTGATCTGTAATACAGTGCATCATGTTCAATTTTTAAGCTACTAAATCCCTTTATAATGAACAAATAGACCCTAGAGAAGAAGTACTTTGTATTTTAGTTGATAAGACTGAGTAAAATGGTTTACCACATATCTTGTGAAGAGACCTACTGGTCGATGAGGCTTTACTCGCAGTCCAATGTTACCTTCAACATTGTTTGGCAGAATTTTGCCTTCATCATCAACAATCTGCAAAACATACTAAATATATACCCCGGTACTTCATTTGATTAGAATACATAATGAATACAATGCCAGCTTACCAGGAGCAGCCCTCTCCACTGAGCCAGGTTTAATTTTAATATAATACCTGTACTTACCTCTAGATCTATCCCAGGTGCAGCCCTCCCCATTGAACCAGGTTTAATTTTGATACAAGGGTATGTGCCACATAGAAATACCTACAAAAACCAGAAGTCTCTGACAAGACTGAAGCTCTACTGGTATCTACATGGTGTATCTTTGTATAGTGTACCAAAGTAATCAAGTCTTATTGAAATTTGAACAAATCTGTAGGGGGAGAGTGTTTTAAAAGAATTTCAAAGAATTTTCTATTTTTAGTAACCATGACAAAACCACTTGTCTAAATCAAAAACCAATACCAAGAATTATGTATCTTATATACAGTGTACCAAGTTTTATTGAAATTGTACCAAAACTTAGCAGGAGTAGCATTTTGAAAGAATTTCACAGAAATTTCTATTTTTAATAACCATGGCAACTCATTTGTAAAAACCAAAAACCAATGCAAAGAATTATGTATTTTAGTAAATTAGCATAGTGTACTTGTGTACCATGTCTTCCTGAAATTGGACCAAAACTGTAGGAAGAGTAGCATTTTGAAAGAATTTCAAAGAAATTTCTATTTTTAGTAACCATAGCAACCATGCTTTGTCAAATCAAAAACCAATGCAAAGAATTATGTTTCTTAGTACAGTGTACTTGTTAGTACCTACTGTTTCACTTTGGCCATAAGCTTCATACACAGTCCCTCCTGTCCCCTCCTCCCACTCCTCCAGAAGCTCAGGATTCTATTAACAAGAGGCCCAAGGGCCTTAACAGTCACCTGAGTATAATACAACATTGTAAAGAATCCATAGAAGTATTAAATAAAACAAAATTGGAACTGTTCAAAATGAACAAATACCCCCCACTGGATTTTTCAGAGAAGGTGCTAAGTCACTAATACTATTATTTGATAGATCTAAGAGGTGTTCACAATATGTTTAAACATTTAGAGAGAAAATTTACCAGCAATTGCTCATTTTATATTTTTAATGAATCTGGTCCAGACACAAATTATGAACTTTTTCTATCAGTGACCTTGAACTTGCACAAATGACCTTGGATCAAGGTCAAGACACACCCTCAGGTCATAAGCAATCTTTGTGTGAAGTAGTAGATTCTAATGTTCCTCCATAAGAAAGATATGGATGGACCTGACACGTTTTCACAAACAGATAGACAGCTAGACAGACGGATTCCTATATACTTTCCCAAACTTTGTTTGCAGGGGGTATAATGAACTTGTAGATAAAGAAATGATGCCCAAAAGCAAGAGAAATAAGATGATAAGTTAGACTGCTTGATGTCCAGGAGTAAAGAAGATTTTAGAGATTGTATTAATTTTGATTGTTTTAGCCCCATCCCTCAGGCTCCAGGGGGGTGGGGCCCACAAATCTCATAATTTTTGTTCCCCTTCACTCATAGATGCCACATGATACAATTGTTTGAAATTGGTTCAGCAGTTCCAGAGAAGAAGCTGAAAATCTTCAAAAGTCAAATGACAGACAAAAACAGACAGCAATAGGTCACATGATTGACACGTGACCTAAAAATTGAAATATAAACCTCAAATGCTCAATTAAGTTTTATATAATCCAGTAAGGATGAGACTATATACATTCAAATTTTATTTACTATTTTTTTTAATTAAGTTAGCTAAGTGAGCATGCATTTATATCAGTCAGTCACTCTTTTTCTTAAAACCTTACATTGATAACCTAAAAATAATTCTACTTTCATTTAGGGGTGAAACGATACACCTCCTTCACGGTTCGATACGTATTGTATAATTTTGTCTCGGTTCGGTTATTTTCGATACGATACATTTTGATAGAAGGAAACAAATTCAATGTTGTTTTATGCTTTCTTTTTCTAAATCTAGTCACATATTTTACGAATTTTATTTGCAAATTGACTAGAAGAAATTGATTAAAATTATTTGACTGTCAAAAATTATTTTACAAGCTATCAGTCATCAAAAATTTACGTTTTCTAGATACTTATTTATACTGAGTAACATGTTTTACCTTATGCCAAACTCGACTGAATAACGATCCCGACCGAAAAATGAACTGAACCGAAAATTAGAGATTTTGCAACGTGTATCAAACCGAGAAAAAATACCGCTGTGAATCGATACCGCGGTGAACCGTTTCACTCCTACTTTCATTGAATTTGCTTTGCACTTACAACAGGTTCCCCTGCACTCAGGCACTTGACATTGCAGAGGTGAGTGTACCTGGACAAGTCCTCCTTCACAATTAGCCTTAGGGCAGTGGGAGGAACACAAAAACAGCTGATGGCTCGATTTCTGTCCAGAATCTAAAAATAATTTTCTTTCAATACAGGTTTATGAAATATATTTTGATATAATTTTAGTAGTACATATTTTTATTTATATATAATTTTATTCACAAAAAGTGAATGGGATTGGGTAGCAGGCAAAGCCTATTTTAGTACATATGACTTTATATCAATGATATCATGCATTCACATAATGATACATATATAAGGAACTTTGTCTGAAACTGGGTAGCATATTACTGCAACACTTTTAAAAAAATTCTATTGATCTTCATGACATATCATTTTTGCAAGATAACTACCGTTATTTTGCATTCTAAAGCAAGAAAATTTTTTCACAAATTTTGTTGAATTTGATCTGTTGTATTACAAAATATGCAATAATGAAAATTTTGCGAGCTGACAATCTCAAAGGATTACCAGAATAAAGTTCCTCTGAATAAAGAGTGATTTACAGTACCAAGAAAATATAACAGAAAAAAGTACCTCCAAAAATGCTTTTGCATCAAATTTGTTAGTCTGATGTGCAAACACACATGCCCCTCTAAGCCATGTTGCAAATAGGCTGCTATAGCCTGCTTTAGCCCATCCAGTGTCTGATATATTCCAAACAACATCATCATGAGAAACATTCAGCATGTACCTAAAAATATTACATATTATACATGTATATGCACTGTATTTTGTTGGTCCTTTTCTCAAACTATGGAAATATTTGCACCTTAAAATGCAAGCTTTCTACTCTTTAGTGGTAGACAAGCTTTCTTTTTGTATCCGTCTGTGATTTTATGCTTATGCTAACCGATGTAATGTTCTTCTACAAGATATGGGTATTCAACAAATTAGGAGGTGAATCCATGGAGAATGTTATTGTCTGATGATTGTTTTTCTTAAGCAAATCTTGAGCTTCATTGTTCATTTGGTTAATACTTGGCTGAAAAGCTAGTTTATGTCTGGTAAACATATATCATTGAACAGTGTAATTACCTAGCTGTTATGTAATTATAATTACCTGGCTGTTATGTAATAATTACCTAGCTGTTATGTAGTAGTAATTACCTACCTGTTATGCAATAGTAATTACCTAGCTGTTATGTAATAATAATTACCTAGCTGTTATGTAAAAGTAATTACCTGGCTGTTATGTAATAATAATTACCTAGCTGTAATGTAATAGTAATTACCTGGCTGTTATGTAATAATAATTACCTAGTTGTTATATAATAGTAATTACATAGCTGTTATGTAATAATTATTACCTGGCTGTTATGTAAAAGTAATCACCTGGCTGTTATGTAATAATAACTACCTAGCTGTAATGTAATAGTAATTACCTGGCTGTTATGTAATAATTATTACCTAGTTGTTATGTAATAGTAATTACCTAGCTGTTATGTAATAATAATTACCTAGCTGTTATGTAATGATAATAATTACCTAGCTGTTATGTAATAGTTATTACCTAGCTGTTATATAATAATAATTACCTAGCTGTTATGTAATAATAATTACCTAACTGTTATGTAATAATAATTACCTAACTGTTATGTAATAATAACTACCTGGCTGTTATGTAATAGTAATTACCTTTCTGTTATGCAATAATAAATACCTAGCCGTTATGAAGTGTCCAAACCCCAGACTGCCATGTGTATGTTCAGCCATTTTAGGGGCACCTGTTGTTCCACTGGTGAAATACAGGGTCATTGGTTCATCAGATTTAGATTTCACTGTCTTCAAAAATACAATATTGGAATTTTTTTTTTGGTTTAAAGACTATAGTAGGGAAAATTTTCAATCCTCATAGTTCGTAAATCAAAAAAAAATCGCATTAAATTATGCAAAACTGTGGAGTTTCATTTTTTTTTCAAATTTATTAAACATTAAAGTGATTAAAATGAGCACTTTAAAAGTATTAAATAGTTAAGCAAACATAAGACTGGAATTTCATATTCCATTCAACATGGAAGCACCTACTGAATTTTTGAAACCCTATTTCCATTAAAACATTCTAAATCACTTAAATCAGGTCTATTACAAAAGTAAACAGACATATATAAAAATATCCAACAAATCTAGTACAGAGTACTAGGATTATAATCCACTTGTGACGTCATTCTTTTGTTTGAGTGCTCCATTATTTTTCAGGAATGGAGAGTTGCAAATCACATGGAAAATACAGTTTTAATATTATATTCTCCCTCCAGTAACTCTTGCTTCTAAGCTTATTACTAAGAAAATTACTGTGATAAGAAAAAGTGACAATGCTGGGTATCAAATCCAATAGCCTCACCATGTAAGATGAGTACTTTCCACACCAATGTCAACAGACTACCGCTATTTACATATGTAAATAACTTGATAACACTCTCTTTGCGGTAATACATGTACTACATACATGTATATAGGATCTCAAATGGTTTGGGGTTGGATATGATTTTTTTATCCAACGAGTTGTGTGTTTTTATCCCCAAGCCTCGTCAGATAAAAATCATATCCAACCACAAACCATGAGAGATTCTTTTTATCACATGTTTTACACATAGCTATTAAATCCACAATATTTCACTTGATCAAATTTATGCAAAAACCATTGTGAAGTCACAACGGTGGGTATGAAAATGATATTCTGTGAGCTATATCCACTGTATAAAGGAGTAAACATGTGATAAATAATACTACAAATTATTTAAATGTATATATATTTTTATCTAATTAAAACACATCTGTATAATTTATATAGACAAACAATAATTGCAAGCATTTAAAGCAGTGGATTTAAAGTAGGTCAATAACCTCAAACCTGTCCATCGTCCAAGCAATGGGCCTCTTCAGGGCCCCCATTTCATTACTTTTAATATGGAGAGGTACTTGGACATAATGCATTAAGACATTTTAATTAAATTTTAAAATATATCTAGTTTCTTTACTTTAACATATTTTTTTTAAATACCATAGTAAGCTTATATAAGTATCCACTGAGTCACAACAAAAAGATATGATCATTTTTTAAATGGACTCTGCTAAATATATTTTACCTGAAAATCCTCTGTTGAGTTTGCCATTATTTCACCATAATTTTTCCAACCTGGTCTGAAATTAATACAAAAGATCAAAACATTATAAACACATCATAAAAAACCAATTTAAGTGAAAATCAAATGTATAAAAATTCAAGAGTGAAAGTTTATAATCCGGTATAAAGGAAGGGATTGTGAGCAAAATAATTATAATCACACTGTACAATTCATTTTTTTTAAGTTGTTGTTTATTAAGACTTCTTTTTCTATATTTTTCTTTCTTAACCTTATGTCAGAATTCAAGATCAATATACATGTATGAGCATAATGTGTAAACTGGTAATTGTTAGAAAACAATATGTCATATTGCCCTTATTATTTTTAACATTTGAAAGATCTGTAAATTAAACTATTATTTTTCATCCTAGAAAAAAATCTAATTAATATGCAGTTATTTCAGATTAATGAGGGTTCATCAATCCAAATTAATTCATACCTAAGTTAGAAAAATATTACTCTAATAAGCTTATACATGTATTATGATTAAAAATGTCTCTCTCCTGATACATGCAATATATACAAGGTCTTTCCTTGACCTTGAGCTCAGTGATTTTTAGTGTAAATCAGTTTGACATTATGCCAAATGAGAATCCTCTATTTTTTTTTTTTTTCTCCAAACAGGCTATTTATCAACAAGGATGCCGCAAAGTGGAGCATCTCTTTGTGGCATAATTTAAAGACAAATAAACTGATATTCTGTTTACACCTTAATTTTTTTGTGTTTTTATCTAGACACTTGTCATCTATCTTTGTCATTCTATCTAGCATCTCTGAATTATGTATGAAAATTATTGCTTACATAACATTTTCTAGAATTGCCAAATGACACTGCCCTTGATATTTTGAACATACAGTTCAGAGGGCGTTCTTCACGTGATCATGATGCATCTCTGTAGTAAGCATGAGACCAAACAGTTAAATAGTAGTCTTTAACATTATATCCATGACTTGATTAACACTGTTGTAAGTTTTAACCTTAGTCTTTGACATTTTTATCACCAAATGATATGAGAGTGGAAGGTCAAATGTTGCTCTATATATCTTCCACGTTTTTTTAACAGGTCGGGTCACTGTCAGTTTGACCTTGACCTCTGACCTTTTGACCTCCCCTTAAAGCAATAGACTTCTTTCCCTGGTCCCTAACCATCATACAGAACATTAGAGACTGAAAAGCCCAATAGTGCTACTAAACAAAATGTGCCCCTAACCACCATTATAAATGCCTGCATCTACATGTACAGATGCACACACTGTGAACTTTGTTTCAAGTCGATAATAAAAAAAGTAGTAACTTAAATCTCAATAGATATTGCAAACAGTAAGAACACTACTTATGTCTAAAATAATACAGAAACTTACTCATTACAGTGTTTGTTACTTCACTGCCACATTTATACATACAAGTATCAGCTGTAAATCACAATCTATTTCTATAGTAGATAAGTATAAACAAATTAAAGTGTGTTTCCCAGTAAGCAACAAAAGCATTTAGAAATTGATTTTGAAAGGGGAGGATATCTTAGATTTTTCAAATAAGAAGGTTCTTTGAGAGTTTTTGAAATATGCTGTACACCGTGCATGTTCTGGTATCTGTGCATACATGTATACTGTAGGACTTACAGTCAGCTTTATCATCATTTTATTTAAAACTGAGAGAGTATACTTAGAGATCCCTGATTTTCCAACATTAATTTAACTGCATGTGCAATTGTGCAAAACATGTTGATATTCACTCTCAAGTTAAAGTCCTGTAATTCACACAGCTTTTTACAGTACCAAATGATTGTATAGTTTTGTATACTGGTACATGTACCATTTACATGTACTACTAGGTGTATGAATTATAAATTAGTATGCAACCAATCCCAATATTTTACACAGTAACAAAGCTGATTACATTTGTTGTACACTTACAGGGTATCAGATTTGTGCCCTATATATATCTTGCTCTGGACCCCTGCACAGAGACTGATGACCTGCATAAAACAAAAATCTATTTCCAGAGGCTAGATAATATACCCTAAGTTGGTTGTGACCATAAAAAACTTGAACAATATCATTTCTTATATCTCAAAGTAAAAAATATCTGATACAATCTTTAAGACATGTTTATCTTTTACTTCATGTTCCACTCTTTAGAGCCATGTGCTTTTTACAACTACTGTAAATTGAAATTGCAAAAAATACATGTATCCGTATAAGCATTTCACAATCAAATTATTTTCTGGTAAAAAAAAATATTTTAAAAATTTGATGTTCCAGGCCGATATCCTCCAAAACTTTGCAGTAAGAATTTTTCAAAGTTAAATATTCTATTCATATTACATGTGTGCAATAGAAATGATGGCCCTAATTATAGATTCTTAAAATATGTGATATAAAACTGACCTCCTCAACATTTTGGACACTGGACTGGTCTGTAATAATACACTTAGCTCCAGACGACTTCATTCTGAGTTCAATATCTTTTGGTCTAAGCTGTGTGGTCCCAGAACTGACTATCAGACCTAATAACATACATACAACTGTCTGTATAGCATGTAGGTGATATACTTAAGCAAAAGGAAAATTCATATACCAGTAGTGAAATGGAGTTTCATATACTCATTCTGCATTAAATGATAACCTTAAAGGCATCAAAAGTGACTTAAGGTAACCAAATGACACTTAATTAAAATTCTGCAAAATTGTTAAAGTACTGTAGCAAATGAAGAACCCAAGTATTTAAAAGAAATAAAAATTCTTGTACGTAAATGATTTTTGTTCTTTTAAGTGTGTAGACTTTCATAGTACTTGTCAACTAGATAAATGTAGGGAGTTTATAACTAGGATGATAGCTGCACATAAGAATTCACCTGCTCTGATTGCAGCAATGTATATAAACCACCATTCTGGGATTCTTGGTAGAATGACAATCAGTATATCACCTTTCTTCAGCCCACAGTGATTGGTTAATACATTAGCCAACCTGAAAAACAAATTATGTAAAACTTACTTCAATCTTACCAAAATTACATCTTTGCTTCATGTTCATTCACTTATGTCTCCCATTAACAATCAAGCAAAATACATGTATCAATAAACAGAAATATGCAAAAATCTCATGAACTTAAATGGATTGAATTTACCTAGTATAAATATCTACTGTGAAAAATTGAAGAAAAATAAATGAATTTATGCTACTTTTATCATTATAAATAACACTGTATATATTTTTTAGTTTACTTTATTTTTTACTCCAGTCTCCTCTAAGATGAAAACTTGATTCAAGGGTAGATTGAAAGGGCCTAAGTAACATGTCTACAAACAAACATATTCTGCACTACCTTTTGCTTTCATTGGATATTTGTTGAAAATTGAACTTCATCTCTTGTCCTTCATCGTCAATCCACCACAGGGCAGGAGAAGAGGCACTTTTGGGACTCTGGTATGGAATTAAGAAAAAAACAATCATCTTTAAAAAAAATTATTAGTATAGTGGTACTGTATGTCTTTTGGGAATGTTCACTCCGTTCACTAATAAAGATTTTCAAATTTTGTTACATGAATCAGTGCACTCAATATTTATTATTTCTAAATATACTCACATTCTCAGAAGCCCAGAAATCAACTACATCTTTTGCAAAATTGAAGTATTGAGGAACAGTGAAATTTTGCATCTTTCTTCTGTGTTCTTCATAATTAATGAAAGGTTCATTATCTACTAAATATGAGGTTATATATCGTTTCCAGTATCTGGATGTAGAAACCCTCAACACAAGAGACTTTCCATATCTTTGCAGACATTGATGAGTCATGATAATGGGAACAGACCTACAAATTTAAATACAGAGCACTCTAAATATATGAAGGAATATGACCAGTCTCACTCGCCCTGTGCTCCTTGTCATGATTGAGAAAAATGGAATCCATATACAATTCAGTGTGTAAATAATGGACTAACAATTAATATGAAAAACGTCAGTGAATAATGAAAGGTTGTATTTGCTGACAAGGTCATTGTATCAACCATAAAACTAGCGAAATGATTTCTTACAAAAAACATTTTTGTGAAAAACTGCATAAAAATAGCTTTATCAAACATATTCTGCACAGCTTAATGAACTTATATACACTGATACATGTAGCTAATTCAAGCTATATATCAAAATCAAGTGGTTGTGCTAGACCTGTTACGGATGAATGATTGAAGTACCATACTACCATATATGCCCATAGTTTGCAAAAAATGCAAAGCGGAATAGGTCTATTTGGTCATATTAATGTACTTTCGTTTTAATCAATGATTCAGTTTTGTTCTGCCTCGGTTCGATCTTTCTTCCCATTTTAAGATACATTCTCCGCCCACTTCATCCCATTTCAGGGTTTTGGTACAGCAATCTATAGCTGCAATAAATCTCTAAATCATAACAATGCAAATTATTATTGTTAAATGAAACATAAATTCTTTACCAACAAAATAGCAAGATATTTCCAAAACTGGAACGCTTGCTCGCGTCGTGAAAAACAAAATGAAACCGAACGATTTGGAAAGTTCCGGTATTATAGGTAAGATTCTTTATTTCCAAATCAGGGCCCTTTCAGGCTGCGGCATCACAAACAACAAGCATGATTTCTACAATTACAAACAGTACAGACAATTTATGTGTATACTAAATAATCTACAGTACATGCATTTGTATATTGTACAATTTGACACTGTATATGTAAGTAATGTTGATTTATAAATGAAATAGTACTACCGTGTACCCTAATGCAAAGTGGGGAGATTCTACAGTCCTCGCATTGCAAAAGATACCACGTGGCGATCCAAAAGTACTAACTATTACAATACATGGAGTGTCAATTTTTTGTATGTATTATTATTGTATATATTTACATGTAATATTAAAAAAATGTTGCAATGTGACTTTATATGCATAATATTTTAAATGGCTTGACTAGCTAGTTAAATGGCATATAAATGTAACATAATTCAAACATTCAAAGAGTGTGTGTTTTTCATCTTCAATAACATTCATTGAGCATTTAGTACAAAGTCTTTGATCTCTAGGAATGTCCAAATAACGACCTCTTTCTATTTGTAAATTGTGAGAAGATGTACGCAACCTACATATTACTTTCCTTTGTTCAAATGGTAAGCAAAGTAAATATTTTTCAAGTCCCAAATTTGTTTTGATCTGAACATAAGTATCCAGTTTACCTTCTTGTGACAATCTTATTAAGTTCCACTCATTCATGTAATATGCAAATAAAATTTTTTGCATTTAGTCTTGAAAGTTCGCAATTTGTTAGAAAAAGTATCCTTATTAAAATTTAATATTTCTACAATTTTACTAAATGTTCCATACCAGGATGGTATACTGTTACTCCAATTAATCTTACTTTGAGAGTATGCTGCTCTCAATAATGGAAATGACATGTCTTATATATATATTATATATTATTTTATTTTATATATGGTATTATATATATTGAGACTTCCCCCCAAAAAAGAACTGGCTATATCGTGACCTCCCCCCCCCCCGGAAACAGAATGGCTATATAGTGACTCTTTCCCCCAACCAACAATAATGAACCCCCCCCCCCCCTACGTAGTCCGAAATATCTGACGTTTTTTGAGGCGTTTTGTATTTGACGTACCTGGAAACATCAAGTTTCATGTAGACAGACCTATTTCACGAAAGATTTTGTCCTTAGACTTTGAAAATGTTTAAGTACTCTTGACCTTTGTATGTGCTTGTAGGTAAATGGGTAATTTAGACTAATTTTAAAAGGTTACCTTTACGAGTATAATAATTTTTTTTAATAATAACTTACAGATTTTATATGTTGACCTACTTTTAATGAGGAATAAGAGATTGAAGCAAATAAAAGTTACGCAGGCTAAACAGGCATCATTTCTTTTTTTCAAAGTGATGCAAAGAAGGGACAGGGGCAGAGAAAAAATAATTAACGAGCGAAAAAAATAAGGGGATGGGGCTAATACTAGTACATTATATACGAAAGTGGATTGGGTTAATTTTCTTAAAAACTTTGACATGACATTTTTTTAAACAAGAGGTCCAAGAGTTTTAACGGTCACCCGAGTATAATACAACAATTTAGAGGATCCATAGAGTATAAAATAAACTGATAAATGAAGCTTTGTTGCCCAGGATCAATGAAATAACATATCATAACCTCTCACATTGGACTCTCTTGGTCTTTGAAGAACAATTAATAAGATGATTTGGGGGGGGGTCTATTGATTCTATTGATAATATAGTGAAAATGATGATTCTTTGAAAATCTTCAACTTAGTACATAGTTATGAAGATGAGGGTACCTCTTCCAAAATTGTGAATTTCATAACCCTTGGTCATGGGTTTTGGTGTTAGGCTAGGGCTGTGTTGAATTTGTAGTAAAAATGCATTATTTCTTTGAAAATTTTCTCTGCTCCAAGGCATAACGAAGGCAAACAGTGTAAAGGTTTTAATAAGCAAGGGTATTTTTATCAGATTTTTAAACATCTGGATCATTTTGATCAAATGTTCTGGTCCTGGCCGGGCTCTATTAATTTGTATTCTGCTGAGAGAAGTTATTTTCGTTTGTCATTCACTTTTGATAATTAATCACTGTAAATAATGTATTTGAAGGTTAAAATACAATAAATTAATTATGCAAGAGTTTTTATTGTATAATACAGTAAATAATTTTATAGTTTTAATGATTGGATAGACTTGTAAATACTAACAGATAAATAAAATTGATAAGACAAAAATAACTTAATACTAAGGAGCAGAGAAAATTTTTTTTAAAGAAGTAATATATTTTCACTATATAACTAATAGAGCCACGCCCTAACACCAGAACCCTTGACCCAGGGGCCACGAAATTCACAGTTTTGGAAAGGGCCAGCACCCTTGCTTATCATAACCATGTACTTAGTTTATCTAATACCCAGAAGCAGAGAAGAAGATTTTCAAAGAATTAATGCATTTTCACTATAATCAATAGGGCTCCGCCCTAACACCATAACCCCTGACCCAGGGGCCATTAATTTCACAATTTATGAAGAGGTTCCCTTGCTCATCATAACTATGTACTATCATAACTATGTACTTAGTTAGTTTGTTTAATACCCAGGAACAGAGGAGAAGATTAAAAAAAAAATAATAATGTACTTTCTTTATATGATCTATATATAACCCCGCCCTAGCACCAGAACCCCTGACCCTAGGGCCATGATTTTAGAGTAAAATTCTCGTTATTGAAATTAATTAAATTATGATAAACAAAACTTTTCTCAGGAAAATTATATCGGCTAAATTTATTCTGTTATTAAAAAAATTATGTGGTGTTCGTGGGGTTCGAACCCTAGCAATAAAAATCCATGCAGGGTATCATTTTGAGATTAAAAATGATCATGCTAGTATCTCATTTTGTTGACCCAAAAAAGTATATTTTTGGCAAACTTTGAGGATAAACTTTGAAAAATATGGAGGGAAAACCTACTCATATAAAAAAAATTGTGTTTAAGTATGAGAAAACGATCCTTTTCGCCCTCTCTAGTGTGTGTATATATGCTATTTCATAGGCAAATAATTTCAATCTTAGTGAGATTATTGCAGATTTTAGAGATTTTACATAAAGTATACTTTAATTTTAGAGGAAAATCAATGAAAATTTTGTTATAATTGAGATTTAATTTTTCATCTTCGTGTTTGTTGCACTATAGGCATTGTTCGCCCATCTTCTTGGTTGAAATTGGTTTAGCGGTTTCAGAGAAGAGGCTGAGAATGTTCAAATGTTAACGCACGACTGACAGACGCGTGATGACAGATATAAACGGATAGCAAAAGGTCACCTGAGTGACTTAATGACTTAAAAAGTGATTTTTGTTTTTGTTTCATTTCCACCCATTGATATTTAGCATCCTTGAACATTAAATATATTTAAAACTTATATATCGGCGGGGGCATTTGTATCATACTGACACATCAAATAGTTTTTGTTTTTCCTGAAAATAAATTTTAAGTAGAGTCATTTTTCTTCTTTTTTTTCGTACAAGTTTCCCAGGTTGAAATAAATCGTGTTTATAAATAGCACGGCTTTTTTTCTGGCACACACACAGTTATGTAATACATATTTAATGAACAGCCATAAAAAAATAAATGCTGTGTCTGGTGATTTAAAATGGAAACACAAGTGAAAAAACCATGCAGATAAAAAAAGATAATGATGCACCTAAAATTATTAATATGGCAAGGATTTGTTATTTGGGGAAAAAAGTTTTTCGTCAAGGTCCTGTTTCGTATCAAGCGAATTATATGCTCAAATTCAATGGCATGTTGCTGAATCATGCAGAATTTCTTGTTGTTTTCTTTGAAATACATATAAGAATTAATCTATCTGTAAAAATTGCTAAAATTATTTCAGTATTTTTGTCGACTGAAATCGACGGACTGGATTCAAATTTTCCTTCGGAAAAATACACAAAAACAAGAAAAAACAAAAAACAAGACAAAAACAAAAAAAGACGAACAAAAAAATTAAGAAAAGCAAATGCCAAAAATATAAATCTCACATATATTTACTGAGGAAGGTTCATATTTAGTCTATTACCTGGCATGTTTATATATGAGACTGAATTTCAAATCTTAACAGAAAAGACACCAGAGAGAGAGAGAGAGAGAGAGAGAGAGAGAGACTCGGTATAGTTTATTCACAGAAGTGAATGGGACAGCGCCTCATACACAGCCTATTTTAGCCCTCTCCCTAAGATTTACATGTAAAGATTTAGAGATTTATACATGTAAAATGGAACTCCGCAAACAGGGTATAAGATGTATATAATGTTTTTTTCAGTATGAGTGATCAAGATATATGTTTTCCAGGCCCGCAGTTACATGTACTTTCTGTATGGATTGTTGTAAGATCAGAGGATGCGTTTGGTGCGATAGTACTCCCTTTAATTCAAAAGAAGACTGGAAAATATTATATTCATCTGTTTAATATTTAATAAGTGAAAAAAGACTTCATTAAGACCGCGGAACATTAACTGGCAAAATTGGAAATATGCAACTTATGTCATTTCCATCTGTTACAGTGAAAAGATTTAATGATAGACAATGAAATGGGCGGGTACAATTCGACACGGACGTCCGAGAAAACATTGGATTGAAATTCCAGTTTGAAATTCATTTTCAATCCACCTCAGCTACTCTAGAACGCACAGTGTTACTGATTGATCCAGAAGACAAATAATTTCAATTTCGGAGATAGTTTGAAATTTATATAAATCAGAATTTTCTGTCCAGTGTTTTTAAAGAAATATAAAGGGGCAAATATTTGATTTCTGTTTGGTATGTGTATGTGTGTGCTTGGGGGTGGGGGGGCTGAACAATCTTGGAAATAAAAACAAAAATTAGTTCTCTTTTAGTTTTAACAATCCCTCCCTGTTTTTGTTTGTTGAACATTTTTCTGTGAAGACAAAACTAAAACAAAAAGACTCTTGTCATCCTAGAATACATGTATATTCTGTCATGTGAAGGCATGATCTGACTTCACAATTTTTGACACCCCCCCCCACCCCTTTCTAGAATCAAATGGCCCTCCCCTGAAAAAATAATCACTGCCTTCTATACTTTTACGTGTTCTTAAAATTATAGGCTAAAAGACTCACATAAATATGATTTTCAAACAACATGTATTTGGGAATTGAAATTATTTGTCTTTTGGATCATACAGTCACACTTAGTTTTGAAAACAGCTCAGGTGGATTGAAAATGAACTTCAAACTAGAATTTCAATCCATTGTTTTCTCGGACGTCCGTGTCGAATTGTACCCGCCCATTTCATTGTCTATCATTAAATGTTTTGACTGTAACAGATGGAAATGACGTAAGCTGCATATTTCCAATTTTGCCAGTTAATGTTCCGCGGTCTTAATGCACTAGAAGCCACCAGAGGAGGAGATACTGTTCCCGGACCCTCCCCACCTTCCTTTCCAGAAATCTGGCGAAAGCACTTGGGGGGGGGGGGCGGGTTACAACCACACTTATGAAAATTAAAAAAAATTCACTAGACGTTATTAGGAGGGACAAAGCTACAAATTTATAGATTTGCTCTTTATTGTATAATATATATTTGATTTAAAATAAATATTATCTCAATTTACACAATTTAAATCAATCACGTTTCAAAGATATTAGAAATTTGAAACAATAACCGATTTATTTACCGACTCCGCATTTAAATAGCAGACACAGTTTTAAGTCAAGTTTTGAAATGCATTTTCAATCCACCCAAGCTATTTCATACCCAATGTGTAGATATATGATCCAAAAGACAAATAATTTCAACTCCCAAATACATTTTGTTTGAAATTCATTTATCTATGTTTTTTAGCCTACAATTTTAAGGATACGCAACAGTCATAGAAGACGGAGACTTTTTCAGGGACGGCCATTTGATTCTAGAAAAAAGGGGGATTTTGTCGCGTCAGATCATGCCTTCACATATGACAGAATATATTTTTTTCTAGGATGATAAGAGGTACTTTTTTTTTATTTCTGTCTTCACATCTAAATGTTTGACATACAAAAGCAGGGTAGGAGGGTCCAATCCAAAAAAAAAAAAAAAAAATTATTTCCAAAATCCCCCCCCCCCAACACACACACATACGAAACAAGAATCAAATGTTTGTCATTTTTAATTTCTTTAAAAACACTGGACGTTATATAAATTTCAAACTATTCCGAAATTGAAATTAAGTTGACTTCTGGATTAATCAGTAACTCTATGCTTACAAGCGTAGCCGAAGTAGATTGAAAATGCATTTCCAAACTAAGGCTTAGAATTTTCTCGGAGGTCCGTGTAGAATTGTATCCGCCCATTTCGTTGTCTATGATTAAATGTTTTGACGGTAACAGATGGAAATGACGTAATTAAGCTGCATATTTCCAGTTCCGCGGTCTTAAGATACGGAAAACCAATTAGTACCTATCAAAAATATTTTTGAATTAGATATAACGAATTGTTGATTTTGTTATAACAAATTTAATTCGTTATAACAATTTTTTGAATTCAGCAAATCTATTGAAACAGATTTTTTTCGTTATAAGGAATTAAAAAAAATTGTTATAATGAATTAAATTCGTTTTACCAAATTCGACAATTCGTTACATCATATCACTGCATCAAATTAATATATATGAAATTCATAAGTTGTTATATCAAATTAATAACATGTTTTATAAAATTAATAATTTTTTTAAAAATTTTATAACATCTTGATAAAAGATACTGTCCTAATACGTTTCCGTTTTACTGTCACTGAAAATTAGAAATTAATACCATCGTATGCACTGAAAGAAATGTTGAACCTCCTTTCAAATATGGAAACGTTTTTTAAAACACATACAGTAACAATTTTAGGATTAAAATAACTAAAAAAGCAACAAGGCTCTTAAAATATATGCAAATAATTGCATAAACATCTTTACTGTATATTTATTCCATCATTATCATGGTAATTTTTTATACGTATAAAATATTATGCATTTAATTTTCTTGGGGGAAAAATACACCCATTAATCCACCAATAGCTTCGTTGTCGTTTGTAGTGTGGTCTGATTATCTAATGAATATTCATAAAGGGTCATGTGGATTGTACTTCTAAAGCTCTTAAGTTTTGCCTACACGTGCTATCGTTTGTTTATGATAAACAAACTAAATTAATCACCTTTTGCATGTACCCATGCTGACAATACAAAATTTAGAAGTTTTCAAACACACAGTGAATTAAAAACAGCAGTTTCTAGATCACCATATCATCGCGCCAGGTCATTGGGAGAGGTCGCCTGACGTCACATCACTGTGTATCGTGCGAGTTTTGTGGATAGAAGAGAGATTTTAGTTGGGTGAAACAGAGCTGGTACCAAGATGAATGTTTTATTCCATTCACCGTTAATATTCATTTATACGATATTATGCCTTGGACATTTTGCATACTCTAATACAGGTAAGAATACTTTCAAGAGCAAAATCCACCACGCGGTTTTGCAAAGATGAGGGTCTACCGGCCGGTATAATGTTTTGTAAAATATCTCCCGTGTTGTGAATTAAATTGTACCGAATTCGTGTAATTTTCAGCATGAAAGTGTAATTAAATGTGCTGTCTATATTTGTACTAAGTATTATTTAATTATTTTTGTTACAGGTGAGTCTGAACCACTGGTATGTGAAGATAACCAGTTCAAATGTATGAGACGATGTATCCCGGAAAGCTGGAGATGTGATGGAGACTATGATTGTATCGACGAAGATGACAAATCAGACGAAGAAAATTGTCGTGAGTATATTGGTTATGGAGTATTATTTTGTCCGAAAATTATCTTGCATGCATACATCATACTAGGCCTACACATTATGCATATCCTTCATTGCAACTCGGACGCTGGTGACGTCTTCTTTACTGACCTGTCAAATTAATAATATTTTGACATATTCAGCTTTGTAAATATGTTCTGAATATATTCAGATGTCCAAATTGAACTTGTATATTATTGATAATTTCAAAAATGTATTCGGAAAGAGGAAGCGAGACTCGCTGAATATCTGACGAGGATTTAACCAATCAGCGATTCGCTGAGTGCCAAACCCATAACATGGTTACCTGAACGCATTAACAGTCTCTTTCTAGACACTTGCATAAATTTACCCCTTACTTTGTGAAAAAAAAGAAAAGAAAAAATATCATTTTGCAATATTTGATGTTATTCTTTAATATTTTCCTTAGAAAGTGCGAATAGAAATTAACCCGTTAAAAAAAAGAAGAAAGGGAATATGCAAAATATGTGTAGGCCCCTATTGTACATTTGTACAATATTTGGATTAATTTTTAAAAAAAAAATAATTTTTGATAATTAAAATTGACATTTAGAACTACATTTTATTAAAATAAATAGAAGTCTTGAAATTGATTTTAGCTTCCAAGACATGTCCAGAAGATGAATTTACATGTAGATCTGGTCACTGTGTGCCAAGGAGGTGGACTTGTGACCACGAAACAGATTGTCTGGATGGATCTGATGAAACTGACATTTGCAGTAAGTTAATATCTCATATATTTCTTTTTTTTTCTTTAAGATATGAATTATATTTATCAGTATGTTTTGAGTGCCTAATTTTTTGTCATTGAAAGATGGAAAGATGTTTCATGTTAAAAAATCATGTTTATTTCCAGAAAATAAAACGTGTGCTAAAGACCAGTTTAGTTGTGGAAATGGAGAGTGTATCCCAGCTAGCTGGCGTTGTGATGGTTCTCCAGACTGTTCTAATGGTGAGGATGAGACTTGTGATTCTCCTACCTGTGCTAGCGATGAATTCAGATGTAACAACTCTAAGTGTGTAAACAACAAATGGAAGTGTGATGGAGATGATGACTGCGGTGACAACAGCGATGAAAAACTATGTCGTATGTATTTTTGATCAAATATTGTAAAAATTGTAGAATATGCATAAATTGATATAAGTAAATGATTTATTGTTTCTTTCTTGTGATAGCTGCTGTTAATTGCACTGCTGACGAGTTCCAGTGTTCAGACAAGCAGTGTATTGACAAGCTGTGGCAGTGTGACGGCGATCCTGATTGTAATGACCAAAGCGATGAAACAAATTGCACAACCAATGTATCTATTTGTTCAGAGGACACCGAATGGGAGTGCCACACTGGTGAACAATGCATTCACGAGTCATGGAAATGTGATGGGGACGAGGACTGTTTAGATGGATCAGATGAATTACAATGTAAGTTTGGTTCTTGAACTTGCTGTATTTAAAGACCACCACTTTGTGCATGAATTACATATTAAAAGTTGCACATGTGCAAGCTTCACACGTGAATGTACTTGTTTTCATAAAGCAGATAACATGCTGTGTAGTTACTCTGTATTGTTTTCAGTACATGTATTTGTGTTCTGCAGGAGTAGTTCACAGTTGATTTGTTGTCTGGGATTTAACCTTAAGATCTGCAATGTAGACCACTACTTTGTTTTGCATTTTCTCTATTGACAAGTATAACTGGATTTTAAACTGTCGTAAGCATTAACCTTTTTTCAGGTTAACTGACCTAAGGCCTAATTGGAAATGTTCCAATTGCGTATGTCTAATCTTTAAATGTTTAATATTGGCAATGCTACAAAAGTTTTTTTTGCCAAAAATGTACCTAACCCTATTTTGAAAATTTATTCAACTTATTCAACAATGATGAAATAAGAGAGCAAAACATCTTATTTGGAAGGTCATTAACTAAGAAAATTTAAAAGGTTTTTAAGAAGTTGGCAAGAGTAACAACATATAATTTGCATATGTATGTAAATACTTTGCATTAATTACCTTTCAATTGCCTATTTTTTAATGGCATGTAAACATATGAAAATTTGAACTTATTCCTGAAATATTTATCATATATTGATTATCATCACAAACAATAAAATCCAAGTTTAAATTTTTCATATCTTAGATTATTTTGAAAAGTATAAGATAAAAACTATCATTTCTCTTTCTTTAAGGCAATACCACATGCAGACCAGATCAATTTAAATGCAACAACAGTGACTGCATCTATCACACTCTCAAGTGTGATGGCTCTGTGGATTGTGTGGATGGATCTGATGAAGCTGGTTGTCGTAAGTTTCTAATTTTATCTAGGGTTTTATCACAAATGCATGACAATTTTTCTCCCACCTCCATAATAACAACAAAAATTATCTAAGAGACTTTTATTTTTCAGCTCCTCCAGTAAGTCACTGTCCTGCTGACAGATTTGACTGCTACAAAAACGGGTCCTTATGTATTGAGGCCAGCAAACTCTGTGACAGCAGAAAAGATTGTGAAAACTTTGCTGACGAAGACAACACACTTTGTGAAAGTGAGTTTTTATCATCTTTTACTATAATTTATCATTTAGTTCACTTCTGTCTCCAACTAACTTTCATACATCATCTGTTAAAACTCCCATTTAGTGTTGGTTAAGAATTCATTATGTACATACATTATCACCTTCATAAATGTAGAACTGCAATATCTTATTCCATCATTATTTATGTACATGTATGTTTTACACTGCCATTACATGTTTATACTGTATTTATCTAACCCCAATTTAATGTGGGTTTTTTGAAGCTAATTCAAGTACTTCAGCAAGAGAAAAGTTTGGTAGGTGAAATTTCAGAAAATCGGACTTAAACACAAAATCTCCATGGTCATCCTTTGGTGCTTTTTTTCTGACTTGTTGTCTTGTAAATTTTCCTATTTGTTTCCTCTTGTGATTAATTGTAAATGCTTGTAGATATAAGTTAGACTTAATGTTGTGTCACCTTGGTTCATTATATGGATTCTATTAAGCCAGATTATATAAGATTTATTTCATTGATTTTTTTTTCTCTTTGGAGCCAAATGAGAAAGAATCATTAAACTTTTAAGTTTCTGACCATTTTGCATGGAATGAAAATATATTTTTCAATACTGGCAATAAAATTTGTTGTAAATGAAGAATATATACTCTGCACAATTTACTCAAAAAGAAGCACCTAATGGCTGTAACAAATTTCTGTATCAGTGGCATATGCTTTATTTTTTTACTGACATTGGTAATACACATAATATGATTAGTACACTAAGGAGCATTTAACGTTGAATATGAATGAGGTCTTGCATTGAATGACGATACATTTCTTTTCAATAAGCTTACTAGCAGTAGTCAGAATGGGAAAAATTGTGTTCCAAAAAAATAGAATTACAATAGATCGTGTTGCTTTATATCCTAATAGTGATGCAGATATGGGAAAATTACATTTTCAACATTTGCATTCGAAGTTTCAAAACAAATTATTTCAAGAGTTGAACAAAATGTTGTATATATATAGTGAAATTTTGTACAAGTTCAATGTTTATTGGTGTATTGAGTTTTCCGTTTTATGTATTTAACCAACAAGCTATTTATATGTATACCTGAATCATTTCAGAGTATTCAAGTTGTTTAAAACAAGCTTGAAAATATTTGATCAAAGCATGCCTGTTACTAATATTGCCTTAGAGATAAATATTAAAATTATTTGATTTGAAATAATAGAATAAGTTGTTTCATTGAAATGTTTCTTAGTTACCAGTCTTGAAAATGTTTGGAAAGAATTCCTCTGAAGACTAGATTGATAGGGCTTTTTATTGAAACTTCCAATGCCAATAGATTTATGCAATTTTATAGTAAAACCCAGAGTGAAAGCTTCAGATAGTCTATGAAAATTGAAGTACATTGTATATTCAATGTAGAAAAATTATTTTTAGAATGAAATCGAATAATGATTAATGATATGTGTAAACTGAATTGGAATAGTGACGTAAATACTAGTAAAAATTATTTAAAAAAAAGAAAAAATTATTTAATAAGGACTTTTCTTTATTTTAGCAAACCCATGTAATTTGAACAACGGTGGTTGTATGCACACATGCATCCCTATTGGCACACAACACCGGCGCTGTGAGTGTTTGGATGGTTACCGATTACAGGGCAACACTTCCTGTGTAGATGTGAACGAATGTGACCAGTGGCCCCCAGTTTGCTCACAGAAGTGTGTTAATGAGCCAAAAGGGTCATACAAATGTGAATGTATGCCTGGATATTACCCAGAATTACTCTCTGATGGCCAGCATATTTGCAAAGTTGTTGGTAAGTGACATCATTTCAGATTCCAAGGCAATATGTTTAGTAAGTCTTGTTATTGAGTGAGTAAAATTTTGCGTTAGTTGCCATGAATTAACTTGATGTCTTTATCATAAGCTAAAATATTTTATTTCTTTTCCTCATCAGGTGAGAGACCATGGTTGTTGTTTGCCAATAGACATGACATTAGAAAACTTGAGGTAGACACCATGATTCTACAGCCAGTCGTTAGTGACCTTCACAGTGCTGTGGCTGTTGATTATGATTATTACAACAAAGTAGTTTACTGGTCTGATAATGTGGAAGAGAAAATAATGAAGTAAGCATGAGAATACTTAACATAGTATCAGTGGATGTCAGCTTGGAAGATTTTGATTAATTTACTGTACATTAAAAATTTTGTTTTTCACTATCAGAGCAAACATGTCTGAAAAGGGGGAGACAAATGGTACAGGCATACCTGTGATAAGCCGGGGTGTCAAGACTCCTGATGGAATTGCTGTGGACTGGATCTATCATAATCTGTATTGGACTGACACTGGATATAATACCATTGAAGTTGCCTCTGTAGATGGATCCATTAGGAAGATCCTTGTAGACAAAGACTTAGATGAACCTAGGTCAATTGCTCTGGATCCAGAAAATGGGTACGTGTTTGTAATTATAATGGTTCAGGTGAATTTAAATGAATGTAGAAATTCTAGTCGGATAACAATTTATTCTTGTGATCTGTATAATTAGATGGATGTATTTCTCTGACTGGGGAAGAACTCCTAAGATTGAACGCATTGGAATGGATGGAAATCCTACCAGCAGAAGTGTTATTGTGCGGACAGATATTGAATGGCCAAATGGTTTAACATTGGATTATGCTAGTGAAAGATTATACTGGATTGATGCTAAACTGAAAAGTATATTTACTGCCAAGTTAGATGGTTCAGATATTCGAAGAGTCCTGCACAATGCTGAACAAATCCTTCACCCATTCTCCTTAACTGTTTTTGAGGTAAGGAAAGCATGATCTTCTCCAAAGGAATAGAAACAAGATCTTATCTGTCATCTATTTGTTTTCTGTGAATTTGTTTTGCAGGATAATGTGTACTGGACAGATTGGTCATCTGAAGCCATCCGTAAAGTTCACAAATACACAGGCCAAGAATATACACAACTTGCCCTTGGTTTGAGAGCTCCTATGGACATTAAAGTCTATCACCAACAAAAGCAAGTGCACAGTGAGTATATTTGCCAATTTAAAGCCTTAGATTCATTAAAACAGAATTGATTTTTTTTTTTTGATAATCAAATTGTTCATATTTCGTCCTATTAAAATTTACTTTTTTCTGTAGGTCCCAATAAATGTGGATTTGAAAATGGTGGTTGTTCCCATCTGTGTCTACCAATCCCAGTCTCTCTGAATAAGCAGGGATATGCATGTGCTTGTCCAGATAACATGGTACTCCAGAGTGGGAAACAATGTGAAGTCAGTGGTAAGTGCAGCACAAATTTCTGTGTCGGTAATGCACAGTGCCGTCTCACACACCACCATGGGAAAGATGCAGATAACTATTTGGGTTTTTAAAAAAATGGAAAACTTGCTTTGCATGGTCAAGAATAGTATGAATCTGCATCCTTCTTTGGTATATGGTATTAACACTGACAAGAAATGTATTAATCTATATGGATGCATGCATAAAAATTAATAAATGTATGCTTGTGCAAGTATCATGCTAGCTTATTTGCTTATGTAATCCCAGATTATCCAAAACCAAAACCAAAAAAAAAAAAAAAAAAATGAGAAGGAAAAGAAATGCATTAAAAAAGGGTTGGGAAGGAATTTTTGGAAGTAATTATTGCTGTAAGGTTTTGTTTTAAGCCATGAAAAGATTTGCTTAGTGGGTATCGGGCCAAAGGTGCATGAAGAATCAGTACACCTAAGGAGAGAAAATTAGTGACTTTCAATAAGAAGATGACTTTACTCATCATGTTCATAGGCCAGTTTAATACCTGAAAAATGTATCTGTATATTCAAAACAGTAGTAGATATATATATAGACCTAATATGTAGAGCTTGATAATATGTGTATCAGTAACAGTTTAACAAGCTATTGACTATTCATGCATGGACCATTTCCTATTCACAGCACAGAAAACAACTACAAGTCCATTACCAACTCCTCCATCTAAGACAGACTCCCCTAATAATACAAACAGAAATTCTTCTAGTTCTCATGGTGAGATTTCTTCTAGAGATTTCAATGCAGAATTATAGGTCAAAAGACATGGAGTAATTTTTAGAATACTGAACAGTAACCACCTCATTTTGTTCTTTGTTTCTTTTGCTGTGCTTTTTAACAGTAATCACTCTCTTCTTCTCTAATTTGTATCGTATTTACCTCCTCATAATAGCCAGTGCCATATTACTGCAAATTTTAGATGCATATATACCTAAAGCTTGAAAATAAATGATAAAATAAACTACGTCATCAGAAATTTGTATTGGCTGCTATCTATTTGGGAAACATGACAACTATATAAAGAAATACAAATGTTTCATTGGAAAGTTTTGTTTTATAGGAGTACCCGCGGTATCAACTACAGTTCCACCTTCTGTACCAACCAAGGCCACAGACAAGCCTAAAGCTACGACTTCAAAACCTGTAGTAACATCCAAAGGTCCAGGTCACATTCCAATCAGCACTGAAACTCCATATGAGATTGTGACGCCAAAGAAAAATAATGAAACAGTTGTTAAAAAATCCACCGAGAGCCCAGTAGGAACCGTGGCTGTAATAGCTATTGCAGTGGTTCTTGGAATTGCTGTTTTGGTTGTTATTGTAAGTATATGTTTGATGTAGAACAGGATTTCCTCAGGAATTTTCATTGGTAGATATCAAGCTATTATTAAATGAGGTTATATTTGTGTTTGCAGATTGGTTGTTTCATTTACCGGAAGTACACAAAGAGGAACATAAAAAGTATGAATTTTGATAATCCAGTCTATAGGAAAACAACAGAAGAAAGTGTACGTATACAAAGAGACTCTGCATTGGAGCCTTTAAATGCTGATACCATGGAAGTCTGATGTTCAGGAAATTACTAGTGACATTCCATTTTAGTTCATAACTTTATCCAGTGCATTATGTCAGGAAGGACATTATTGATTTTAAAATATTGACGCTTAGAACATGGAGAGCTAGTAGCTAGGCGTAACAAAGGAGTTGTATCACAGCCATTTTACAAGAGGAGTATACATTCCAATAAAATCTCCTGTCCAATGATACAACCAGACTGAGCTGGCCAGGTCTCTACCACTGCCAAGTGTGGGAACAGCTGATACATCGGAGGGACTGATTCTCACAGCCCTTCTTCCTCCCGCCTCCCTTTTCATTTCCCCATCAAAAAGAATACTCTACAATGATCTGATTGTTACAATCTCGGTGCTCTTGTGAAATATTTACTATCTGAGGTTTAGGTTCATCTCTTTTATATATTCAGGACACTTATTTTGCATCATAGCAGCTTTGGAAATGTTTCTCCAATTTTTCACAAGAACAAAGAATCTGCATTTATGCTGAAATTGAAATTCTTTATATTCTTTTATTATTATTATTTATTTAAGTATCTAATGTTTGAATGTGGGAATGTTTGTGATGTCAGAATAAAATAAGTTAAGAATGTTGTGAAAGACTTGCAAGAGATGTAAACTGAGAAAGATTTGTTAATGCTTCTGTTTTATTTGTTATTTATTTTGATTGTTATATATGTTAATATTGTGCTTATAAATGGGAGAATTTAGTTAGATTTTTGTGCAAGGTAGAAACTGCATGTTGTAGAACGTAATTCTATTTAGAAGAATGTAGAAGGGGATTGTTAGAAGAAAATTCACCCACCAACAATCCAGGGTTCCTCAAAGGGACTGGTTTCATGTGTGAATGGAGCACTAGGTATCATTTTTCACTACTCATTGTATGGAACTAAGGAGATGCAAGATTCATGTGTATTTATTGAAGTTAGTTTCAAGAGGAATAGTTTCAAGTGTCCTGGGATGTATTAATATATTTAAAGTTGGTAATATTTTAATGAATTAGCATATTGTCAAATGAATTTTACATTACTTATGTAATATACTGTATGTTGAATCCAACATGGAAATATTTCATTTGATATTAACTTGTAAGCATAATAATTAGAGGTGTTCTTAACTATATAGCATACATAATAATTGTATAATGAAGTATCATCTAGTCCCATTTCTGAAAAAAGGACAACCCAGGGCACAATAGTTTGTGTAATGTAGTATATTGTGATATATTACTGTGCTAAATAATGGAGAGTGCTCAGTAGCTAGGGCTCTGCCTAGTGATAAATTGCGTACCTGTTTTGTATAGTTGTATAAAGTGTAAATATGAATATGTTGAGCTTTACCCATAGTCTTCACATTGCCAAGATTTATATCGGTTCTATTCAAGCAAGCATATCCATACCTGTAGTCAACAAGTATTTTTTTTTATTTGTAAAAAAGATCATATAACAACATGTCCGATTTCTTGACTCAATTAGTGTCTAACTATCTACATCCAGCTTTGAAATTATTCAGGTGTATATCGAGAGAATTTTTCCATGCTTGAGCGAGTATACCACTTTTGTAAGCTGTCAAATTGGTGAGAACACCTTCTTTTTTTTTTTTTTGGCAAATAAACATGTACATGTGTGGTCCTATTTACATGTTTCTTTCCATTTTTAACCATAGTATTCAGTTAAATTTGGCATTTTTGGGGTATATTGATTTTTGAAATTTCGGAGAATTTGAATTTAGTTAATACTTCCACTCATGAAAATTTATTCCTGATGTGTCACCATTCCATTCCAATAGGTTCAAGTTGTTTTAATATTTACTGAGACTATGTTGACTAGTAGGTAAATCATGTTTAAAATGTCAATTTTGATATTTGTGCCAAAAAATAGGTTAATTTGTGTGCATGTAAAGTGTTGTTTGTCAATCTTGCTTGGTCGTTCTAGGGGTGAATGATTCATGTTGTTCCTTTTTTTTTTGTCAGACAGGCACGAAGTGCTTTTTTTTAAAATAAAATGTTTTAAAACTGAAATTGGAGTACTTTTTTTCTCACAAGAACTGTGTGTGTATATTTTAAAACCGATGTTGCACGTCAAGTCTTGTCATGCTGAGTATCTGGAATTTAAATTATCTGTGACGTAGATCGTACGATTCAGTAGTAACGTGGATATGGTGCGAGTCTCTAGATCACCTCATTAGCATAAGACTGACTGGATTATGAATGAAAATCTATAGTGGGAACGCCCCCTTAAATACATGGAAGTGTAGTCAAAACAGAACGTGTGTTTTTGAGTCGTAACTATATTCTGTTGAAAATTCATATTAAACTCTGTGATAGTTACTATAATCGGTGAAATGTGCACATTGCATATCAGTACATGCATCGTAAACCTGTTAACATTAATTTCTAGTAGAACTCTAGGTTCTAACTCTACACATTGTGACCAATATTTTGAATTTTATCTTCCTCATAAGTAACCCAAAATAAGATAACAAAATCTGATGTCAGCCACTGTTGCATGCCAAAATGAATACGCTATACAGGTTAAACAAAGTACCATATTTTGTTTTTGGTTTTGCTAAAATTCCTTTAAGAAGTGTTGAATTCAAGGGGAAATCCTTTAAAAAAAACCTACTTTTTATGTCAGTTCATATATATATATATATATATATATATATATATATATATATATATATATATATGGAAGAATTGCTCTTCATTATATGTTGTATTCTGTCTGTTATCTGTAATTATACATGTTATATGTTTATGCCCATTGGGCCCTGATTTGGTAATAAATCCTATTCTATTCTATTCTCTCTCTCTCTCTATTATATATATCCCAAAATTTCATTTCTTTATTTCATCTCTGAAATTTGCCCCTTTTTTTTGGGGGGGGGGGGGGTAGGGGGTTAAAAAGCACTGGACACTGTACCCATAGTAATCTTATCTGGAGGCGATAGCCGATTTTTTAAGTTTTGTCCAGCAAAGCTTATAAACTTCCATATTTATTGATAAAAGTAAATGACTGAATGCTGTTTATTTTTAAAAAATTATAAATAAATATTATTTGCTACACTATATAAATGCTATAAACTATGTAGAAAATGATGCAATTTATTACGGGGCGTTTTTATGGTAGATCTGACTCGGTAAATCACCATTGTATTAGTCAGTGCATTAGCAATGTCCAGCCTCCTGATGTCATGGCGAGTCTGACTAACGGAATTAAGGTGGTGTGAATCACCTACGTAAGGCGGAATCAGGAAGAAGGAATTTAGATAAAAGCCTTTAGGATTTCATACGTAATACAAAATGTTCCAGGAAACAAATTGTACAATTTACGTACATGTATATACAGCATTTGTACATATCCTACATAACTCGTGTTTTCTACAACCATTACGTGCAAAAAAAAAAAAAAAAGACAGACTTGTATTGAACAGTCAAATAATTTCGGATCTTAATTTGAAACCTATCAAGCCTGAACATTTAAGGAAACTCTAAACATTAATGTATTGAGTTTATCTAGTTTATTTTCAGCATAGGGTACCTGCCATATTTCATAAGGAAAAAAATGAACAACAAAGGCGAATCTGGACCCCCCCCCCCCCCATGGAATTTTCAGATTTACTAAATTTTAAGTTAAAAAAAAAAAAAAAAGAATTACCATGGACCCCCTTAGAAACATGGTTCCCTTTGAAAACGGTAAAGAATCATATATGTGAAGAAAATTGACTTGGAAAAGTGCCCCCCCCCCCCTCAAATTTTCAGGTTAGGGAAGTCTTTTTTTTTGGCTTGTTAAAAAAATTCCGAGTCTGGCATTTGTTACAAAAACACCGTTGCGTACTCAGCGGCTTTCTTTAAAAAAAAGGTTATCCTCCAAACAAATACAGTTTATACTTAGAATATTCAAGATCTGTAGAGCACCCTGCTATATATTAGGCCATTCATATCGCCTTCCTGCATGTTTATGTCCAACTGAGGTGAAGCTTCTGAAGAATGACCGTTTTTAATCCGCTCTCGCCTTGTAGGAAGGGGGTGGGGTAAAAACCTGGGCTTGTGACAATGGACATGTAGCTGAAAGCTTACTTAAAAAAAAATAATATTACGGAAGATAATGACAAATATTGATTTACATGCCTTACAAATATAGAAATCGTGATTAAATTTAGAAATTGTGGTTTAATAAAGCTATCCAGATGTCCGTTTCATCCTCGGTATTTATAATTAAACACCTCTTTACATACATAAAAAATATATCCAGACAAGTGGTTAAATTTAACAGTCTATGTTTAGTACTTGTCTTCTATTAATACTATTTTAATTTCCACATTTTCATTCTCTGTTAGCTAAAATTGTTGCTTCCTTTAGTGTTGTTTTTAAAATAATTTTCTCGTAATTACAAGAGATTGTGGAGCATTTTGCTGTTGTTGTTGTTGTTTTGATACTAAATAAGCTTTTATAGTCAATTTTAACCCAGTGTATACAGTATCTTTAAAAAATTCTTCAGATACGTCGACACGTATATTCATTTAATTAACTGTCTAAATCAAGTTGACACGAAAACTTACTAGTATTTACAGTATTAGGCCAAAACAAGAAATGTTGACCTTCTAAATGCAGTAAAATTGTGAATTCATTTTTCTTACGAGTCGACGGTCATAAAAATTATTTTTCATCATTCATAAAGATTGTGAAAATTTAACATTTTTTTCTCGGATCTGATTGTGGGGTCGAACCACGAGCACTTGTTTCTGTTAATTCTTAACCCATGGTATAATAATTATTACTCTATGGGTTAATAAAAAACTATAGAAACAAGTGCCTGTGTTAAAAACGACAGAATATTAAATTGTTTACTGACACTTTATAATTGAAAAAAAGATATCATAAGACATTTGACATACACTATACATACAACGTCTTAAAAGAATCCCCACAGTGACTTTGTCATAAATATAAATGCTCTTTGGCGATTACTTGTCAGTCTTACATAGAGCCTTCATTTTTTTTACGCCTCTAGAAATGATAATATCATGTCAATTTAATCAAAAATTTTCAAAATATTGAAAACTACTTGCTTTAATATGGATATTGTTTGTATGGAAAATCAGTGTAAAATATGATTTTCTATAAGAATGTTAGCATGTTTGTTTGATTTTCTTTTAGCTCACCTGAGCCAAAGGCTCGAGTGAGCTTTTTGAGAGAAGGGTGTCCCGGCGTCCGTCTGTCGTCTGCAAACTTTTAACATTTTCGACTTCTCAAGAACCACTGTGATAATTTCAACAAAACTTGCCACAAAGTATTCTTGGATGAAGGGATTCAAATTTGTTCAAAGGGCCAGTTCTCTTTTAAGGGGAGATAATTAAGAATTAGTAAAAAAAAAAAATTAATGGCATCTTTTAAAAATCTTCTCAAAAACCTCTGGGCCAGAAAAGATGATAATGTGAAAGTTTCATTACATAGTGTACATTCAAGTACATTCAAGTTTGTTCAAATTATGACCCCCGGGGCTAGGATGACGCCACAATGGGCGATCATAGTTTAACATGGGAAGATAAAGGGGAAAAATCATTATAAATCTTCTTCTCAAGAACAGCAAAGCCACGATTATACATATTTATACGGAAGCATCCCCAATGACTTAAATAATTTTTGTTCAGATTCTGACGCCGGGCGAAGCCACAAATAGGCGATCAAAGTTTTACTTAGTACATGTAAATGTATTGGTAAAATCTGTAAAACTCATCTTCTCAAAAATAGCAAAGCAATGATACATGTATTTAAATGATACATTTATTTAAAAAAAACATTCTCGGGTAGTTTAGACTCAATTTTGTTCAAATAATGACCCCCAGGGGCAGGATGGGGTCACAATGGACGATCAAAGTTTTACATAGGAATATACAGGAATTTAAAAAGAAAAATTCTTCTTCTCAAGAACAACAAAGCCCTGATTATTCATATCTATATTGAAGTAATGGGCAATCAAAGTTTAATATAGGGGGAACAATCTTTAAAAATCTTATTCCAAAGAACAACAAAGTAATGATTATTCATATTTATATGGAAGCATCCTCAGGCAGTGTAGAGTCAAATTTGTTCAAATCATAATGACCCCCCCCCCCCCCCCCCGGCCAGGCGGGCAAGGCAGCAATAGAAAATAAGGTTCTACTTAGGAGTTTTTTATGCCCCCGTAATCGAAAATTCGGGGGTATATAGTTTTGGCCCTGTCCGACCGTCTGTCTGTTTGTCTTAATCTGTTTGTCTGTTTGTCCGCAAAAACTTTAACCTTGCTCATAACTTTTGATTGGTTGGGGCTATGGCTTTCATATTTCACATGTGTATTCCTTGTGACAAGACCTTTCTTTGAGTACCATCAAATTTGACCTTTCGACCTTGACCTTGGAGTCTGACCCAGTTTTGCAAAATTTTACCCAACTTTAACCTTGGCCATAACTTTTGAAAATTTGGTGCTAGGGCTTTCATACTTCATAGATGTAATCCTTGTGACAAGAACTCTCATTGAATACCAACAACTTTGACCCTTTGACCTTGACCTAGGAGTTTGACTGACTTTTAAAAAACTTTAACCTTGGCCATAACGTTTGTACGGTTAGGGCTAAAGCTTTCATACTTCACATATGTAATTCTTGAGACAAGACCTTTCTATAGATACCAACAACTTTGACAATTTGACCTTGACCTTGGAGTTTTACTTACTTTTAAAAAACTTTAACCTTGGCCATAACTTTTGAACGGTTAGGGCTAGGGCTTTCATATTTCACATATGTAATTCTTGTGACAAGACCTTCCTTTAGATACCAACAACTTTGAACATGACCTTGGAGTTTGACCTACTTTTAAAAATTTTGAACCTTGGCCATAACTTTTGAACAGGTGGTGCTAGGTCTTTTATATTTCACAAGTGTATTTCTTGTGAGAAGACCTTACTTTGAGTACCAACATATTTGATTTGCATTTGAGAAAGTTTAACCTTCGCTATAAGTTGCCATACGGGGCATCAG